AAGGTAATCCAATAATGGCTAGTAAACATCATAGCTGGCATGTGAGTGTGATATTTATTTATTATACATAACCATAAGAACTTGGGAGTCTTAAATTCTTACACTTGTGGCAATATACTGCATCAATAATAGTGAGACAGAGGAGCATGAAGGGGAATGAACCTTAGTAAAGTATTACAGGATCCAGGGGCCAACTCCCTGAAGAGGGGGAAATTTCACTGCAAGCTCAGAATATCCTCAGGAAAAGTATAATACAGATCTCTACTGGTGCCTCATTTAGATAAGTTCTTCCACATTACAGAAAAAAACACACATGCCAATTAAGACCATCCCCACCTAGATCATTCCACCCAAAGCTTTTTCATATTTACCAAAATTCAACTTGTTTTAATTTTCCATGTATAGGATCTAATTATTTCACGGCCATCTTAAATTCATCCCCCCCCTACCCCCACCCCTGGACAGGGGGGTAGGACAGGCAGCCTGATCCCTGCACCTTGCTCCCCCAACTCCCTCACGTGCGCCCTTATTGCCTGTCCCCCATTCCCCACCACTTTACCCCTCCTTCCTGCACCCCTGCCACCTGTCCCCTGACCTGATCTCCAGCTCTCGCTGTTGCCTGATCCCCTACAGGTGCTACTTTCCCATCCCCCACGCAACTCCTGCAGGTGCTGCTGCCTGATCAGCAGCACATGCTGATGTCCCATCCCCTGACCCACTGCTGCAGCATCCCTGGACCTGTGCTTCTGACTGGCAGCAGTGCACACCAGGGGAAAGGGAAGCAGCACACATTGCTGCCCCTGGATCCTGGATGCAGCTGCTGCCAAATAGGAGTGTGGGTCAGGGGATGGGTCAGGAGTGTGCACTGCATCCCTATCTCTGACCTGCACATCTGCCCCATCTCCTGACCTGTGCTGCTGATCAGGCAACAGTGCAGGTGAGGGGATGCAGCAGCAGTATGAATGGGGGCATGGGGCAGCAGCACAGATCGGGGGAGAGAGAAGCAGTACATTTGCTGTGCCATCCCCTGCCAAATTTCTGATCCAAACTGCAACCCCAGCATCCACCCATCCTGGACCTGAGCCCTGGTCCAACCTGCACTCCTCGGATTGCTGCTGGCTTCAAGGAGCAGTAGTAACAGCAGACCCAGCAGCTCCAGCTCTGGCTCTAGACCAAAACTGGGGACAGGGCAAAGCTGGTACTTGAATCCAAAACCAGGTTTGTTTTCCCACCAGTTGATGAAGAGCATACAAACTTCATCTTGGAATCAAGTAAATATACATGTATATTGTATTTACGCAAATCCAAGACCAGGTTATTTTTCCCATTTATCTTTCAAGTACAAGGCAGTTTGGGGACAGGGAACTGGTGCAGCTTTGCCTCTGGCCCCAGCCTATCCCTTAGGCACTGCCTATCCCTTAATACCTGCTCTTCCAACCATCTGCTTCCCTGCCTCCCCCTCTGCCACTGCTTTTCCTGTTGCAGCAGTGGAGGTGGGGAGGGGCATGACAAATTTTAGATGACCCTCCCTTAATTAGTTTCTATATGTAGAAAATTATAATAAATGTATACATTTTCCATGTACAGAATCTAATTATTGGGGGGGTCCTCTTGTCTTGGATTCTGATAAATATGGTATATATGATGAGGCAGTCAATTTGTGGAAAACTGGAAAATCCCCAGATCTCCATCGGAAGTTTTCAAAAGCTCTTCAAATCAATACTGTCTCTACTCATAAAGGGCACTGTTAATCTTCTTGAAATACTTTAGAATCTTTTAATCTGTCTCATAGTATTTTAAGGAGAACAGAATATATAGTAGATATGTTTTAGGAGAAACAAATTTAATGAAGACAGATTTGGAAATATGCAAAATGCCAGATTTTAGTTTGAAATTATACTGTTTCAGAAACAAGATATTTTTTTTTTCCATTCAGATACCATCTACTGGTATCATTTTAAAATCTTGGACCTATTACAGCAGTAACAAAGGTTTTGTCAGAAACATTGCTACATTTCAGGAAATCATTTTGAAACGCATTTACACACACCTCAAGTCTGCCTGCAGAACGTGCTGATTTCACCCTTCACAAAACCACAATAAACACAGAAACAGTTCCATCTTTGCAAAGTTTTGGTCAGAATAGAGCTGCATTATTGGAATAAATAATGCTAGCACCCACATAGGATTATTCTGATTGGGGCTGGAGCAGTTAAGAAAGCCAAAAAAGGAAGGAGAAGGTACTGGGGGTAGGGCTGGGTGGGAAGAGGGTTGCCTTGGAAAGAGAAGGATCGTAGGAGCGGGGAGAACACAGTTCACTAACAGCAACGATATTGGATGTTGCTTAGAGTTTAGTTATAGCCAACAAGATGAAAGGTCAACATTTCAAAATGTTTCAAAGGATGAAAAGTTCTGATTCACAAATGTCAAAATGTTTCCCCTCCAAACAGCTCAGGAGCGCTTGCCTGAGTTACCACAATACCTCTATGGGAACTGTTGCTTAGGTATCTGATGTGCTTGGCTGGACTATGTCTCTCTATTATGATGGTCATGGGACTGCCAAGACACCATCATCTTACTTTGGGCTTAGCCTTTGTAGTCTGGTGAGAAGCATGGCTCACAGGGGAGGCACATGAACTCCAACAGCTATTATCCACCAGGGCAGCTCAGACAGATGTAGACAAATGTTCTGATCCCCAAACATGTATTTCAATTCAATTTGACCAGTGGAAACATTTTGTTTCAGATCAGCTCAACTTGAAAGCAAACATTAAAAAAAAAATTCCCAACCAAAACTCAGCATTTTTTGGCAAAATCGACATTTTCTTGTGGCGATGGATATATTGGAAATAAAAAAGGAGGACACTGCATATACATAGCAAGTTTTAAATCCATTCGTGTCATGCATTGATGGTTAATGCATGCCATGCAGAAGAGATCCCTGTGTCTTTAAAGCTGCTGGTGACAAAACTCTTGGAGAGACCGAAGTAGAGCTGTGCTGCCTCCCCCACCAAGGGGAGGTCTCTCAATCTATTTCTCAACCAAGAACACAGCCCCAGGAAGCTCGGTCATTTTGATAACATTGAAGAAAGTGCAAAGTGTTCTTACCTCTAGGAATCCTGACAACAGACCAGGAAGTGCTTACAAAATAAATGGCAAAAGTTAGACAGTTACAAGAGTATGGATTTTCAGCACCATTTCTCCTTCTATTACTTAACTCAGAAAGATACTCATGAACAGCTCTCCCTTTTCTAATAATACTTGGAAAGTCTGCAATTTATGTGTACAATGCTGTGTGGAAAGTGCATATGCAATTACTAGTAGGCACCTACCGAATTCATGGTGGAAGTGGGATGTGCTGTGGCTCCTTTAATCTTACAGGTTCCCCTGCACTCCCCCCTTGGTTGATTGGTGGAGGGGCCCTGCTTGTGGCTTGCTTCTGATCAGTGGGGAGGGAAAAACTGCAGTTTTAAATATGGTGCCATTTTTGCCTCCCGCCAATGATTGGCTGAGGGGCCCCAGGCAGCTCTGCTGTTTGCTGCTGACTGGTGGGAAGGCAAAAATGGTGCCATGTTTAAAACAGCAGTTTTAACTTCCCTGCTGATCAGGAGGGAGTGGCAGGGTCCTCTGCTAATCAGCAGTTTGGAGGGGGGAGATTCAGGGGCGAGGTGCATGCAGGTGAACATTCAAGATTAAAGGAGCCACCATGCACTCTACTTCCACTGTAAATTCAGTAGGTCCCTAGCAATTAGCCAGCTACTTTGTTGATAGAATTATGATTTTAGTATGTACTGGTCAATTCTATGCACAAGTGGCTACATGTGGTCATTTATGTAAACAGTTAAATAATTTACATGCACAGAGCTAATTGTGCAAGTAGTTCTTTGTTAAATCAAGCACAGAAAATAATTCCTGGTGATTCCTTGTACGGAGAACGTATTTCTTGGCTTTTGTCTGTTCATCCAATGTTCTTACCTGATGTGTTCGATACATTGCCTAATAACATATGCTACAAGTTACCATAACCTACTCCTATTTTCTGTGTATATGAAGTTCTACATTTACATAAAAAAATACATAAATAAAACAAAAACACATACCCCCCATAGAAAACAAGAACACTTAGGCTCTGATCCTACAGAGACTTTTGGGACCAGAATTGATTTATTACATGTGAGCAGTCCAACTGGAAAGTTAAGCATACAACATTTGCAGCAACAGAGCTCCAGGTAGTAAAGCAAAATAATTGAAAGTCAGGAATGCTAAAGTTAAGGTAAACCCATGGCATCTGAACCTACTTCCTTGTCCACATACACAACAAAACTGCCTTTTATCATAATCATGCTTTCCTGCTGGATCCATTCTTCATTCAGTTGTGGTGGTGAGAAAGAGGTAGGGATATAAAATGGATCAGATGCAGCCTTGTTACTTGAGATAGTGCACTAGAATAGAGCCTCCAGTAGATAGTAGAGAAAAAATAATCTCAAATTTCCTTTCTGGTTGTGAAAATGGGCAAACTGAATATTGGATACTTTACCATATCTGCCCTTATTTACTCCCTGTGGGCCCACAGGAAGAACTTGATCAGGTGGTTGTAGATTATTTAAAAAAACACCAGGGGAACAGTCTTTCTTAGCTATTATCAAGACAGATAAAGTTATCACACTGAATATATCACAAGCTCTGAAGGTGGTAAGCAAAATGCGTAACTCTGCAGATTGAGGTATTAAAAGAGAAAGTAGAAGGACATTTGATAGCAAGAAATTTTTCCTTGCCAGTCTGAACATAGTACATTGTCAATAATGACATAAAAGACAATATCTGAACTGGGTTGATAATTGCTTGTGGTTTCACTGATATTGGATGCAATCTGATTGACCTTCAGGGTAAAAAGGTATAAAAACCAAAGTATTTTTCTTGATCAGCCGTTTGGACATCAGTTTAATTTCTTGATTTCTAAGGGACTTCTTTGGGGCGTGGGAGCAGATTTTTCTAAGAAAATGGCAACTTTTAATGAAAAAAAAACCTGCAGCCAACGGATGGAAGATTTCAGCCATTTTATGTGGAATCCAGAAACAAAGCAGTTTATGGGAAGAACCTTGATTAAGTGGGGTATGTGTTTGTGTTCATGTAAAAAACAAGAATCTTTTTTGTGGTATTGTTAGAAAGCTGCATATTTTTAAATGACTTAAATAACATATAAATGTTGGATGTTTTATGGTTACCAATTTTACAGATGACTGATTTTTATTACATAGTTATGATTCACCTTTGCAGGTCAGTGAAATATTTTGTTACAGCCCACGTTAATTTCCTGAAATGTTTCTGACTGTGCAGTTATAGAATGGAGAGATTTGGTCTTTCAATGATGCTTCACAAATACAAGGGTTTTACTGCCCTAGTTAAAATGTCTAAACAACTGTCAAGATAAAATGAATGGATTTAAAAATGAATTAAAATGAGGCAAGGAAAGACAATCACTGAAAAATGGAGTGAGCACAATGAACAGCAACCAGAAATATTAAGGACTTAGTAGAACTGATTTATGAGAAAAACTGAAAGGACTAACAACTTGATCCTGCTCCCGCTTCAGTCAATGGCAAAGAGTCCACTGGCTTCTATATCTAAAGCCCATGAATACAGCATGAAAAATGTACTCCCAGTATGTTTTTTAACTCTTCAAGACCAGGTCAGAAGAATGAGAAAATCATTTCTGTGCCAAATATCTGGAAATATATTTTTTCTCAATAAAATTATTTTTGAACTCCTGTTTGATTAGCACATTTGCCATTTTATCCTAGCACACTGATGTCCATTCATCCATCCAGAGCCAGATCTTTTACTAATAATATGCAATATAATTATATGGTCTACAGTCAGAGGGGCCCAACTCTTACTAACTTTAAGAAGGCTTTCCATTCTTCCCACATATTCTAATCTCTCCCTTCCTCATTCCTTCTGTGAGGTAACAGAATTTGACTGCAAGACATTTTTCTGAGATAAAATTTGACACACTGTATTTCATCAGAATGATTTTCTTTTGAATTTTAATTTCAAATCAATTTGAAATTTTCATATTTTGCTATTGGCAAAGTGCCCAGTAACAATTGAGGCCAGGTAGAAATAGGTAACTCATTCATTATTTTGCCACTCTACTTTCCTGTCTTTGGCTATGACAGTATTTACAAAGGTGGTTGTGGGGAATGATGGCAAAACAACGTTGCTGTGGAATGCTTATATGCAGAATTCACTTTAACTATATATTCTAAATCATACATTTCCTTTGCAGTGTGGATCATTTTGTACTACATTGCCTTCTATGTGGTGATAACTGGGCTGTTTGCACTTTCCCTGTATTCCTTAATGAGGACAATAAATCCATATACACCGGACTATCAAGATCAATTAAAATCGCCAGGTACAGTTAAAATTCTGTCCATTTCACATCATATGGCCAAACTATCAAAATCACATTGTTTTGTATAACAACACAGTAGTTTACTTAAACTGATTGGCACTGGAAGTATTCTCACAACTAACGGGGCAATGGGAGATGGAGATCAGTAGAACTGACTTGGGTAAAGCAAAAACATACTCCAATGGTAGTCCAAAAGTTAAACACAAATGAAAAGAAAATCCAAGTTTGAAAAATCTGCATTTACTTTTTTACTTCTATGAACATTTTGGCTTCAACAATTAAAGTACCAGTGCCTGAGTATGCACATGAAAGCTGTGTATGGAAGATATCCTCCACAGTCTGATTTCTGCCCTTTTATGTGCAGATAGGGTCACCCATCACTGCATTACCCCAACCTCTTAGAATCCACAGGGTCAGAAATTGAGTAAGTAAGGGTAGAAGTAGCTAGGTTAATATGGACATCGCTGCTTGCGTCCAGCATAGGTCCGCTCACAAACAAAAAACAGCTGGAAATCATACAAGAGAAAAATGGAATAGAGTGCGAAAAGGCAAAATGTGTTTAACACCTGGGAAAAACAGGTGTTCAACAAGTTAATACCAAAATATCCAATCTAAGGCTTCTCCTAATTAAGCAAGGGAAAAGAAAACCCACCACTTTTAGCTACAGAACACTACTCCAAATTATATCCTCCCACCCTCAAATGATATGACTTGTTTGTAAGCAAACAGTCAATTTTCCTCTCTTCATATCTAGCAAGTGAAAAGTTTGCTGGCAAACTAATCAGTGCATGGATGGTTTCCCTTTTCTTTCTTTCATAAAGGTGTGACATTACGTCCAGATGTTTATGCAGATGAAGATCTGGACATTTATTATAACATTAATGACACACACTCCTGGGGAAGACTTGTAACTGCTCTTCACACTTTTCTTTCAGGTGAGAAAAGAAAATATAGTTCATATTTATTCAAGCATAACATTAAGGAAGCACCAGTCATGGTTGTCTTGTGAAGGCTGAATTGAATTTTTTACTTCAAGCAGAGATTCAACTTTGAGGGAGGGTGGGAGGGCTTTGTAGGAAAAACACAGTATATCCTCCCAAAATTATAGAACATTTACTATATAAAAGTATATTCTTTGAGTATTATCTTTTTTGAAAATTAACAAGTAAACCTGTTGATTAATTTATTAATCAAGTTCATGGAAAATGTGCTGCTTAAAAAATAAAGACCCTTTTCAGATCACTTTTCATCAGAAATGGTCCTAAAAAACAGTGGGTCAGATCCTAAAAAAGGACTTAGGTGGATTTTAGGCCCACAAATAAAAAAAAAAATGGAATCCAAAAAATCCCTACAAGCAACCATGTACCCCTGGAGGTACCTATACTCACTTCTTGTCCTCAAATCTTCCCAGGGCCTCCAGTTCCATCTTCTGCACATGCTCAGATCTGCCCTGGTCTAAGCAGGTAGGCCCTATTTAGATCCAGAATCTAGCTGGAGCAGCAATTATATCCCCAGACAGCTGATCTCCAGAGAGGCTCAAAACACTAATGGCTCTGGATTTTGCATTCCACCTTGGGGTAGAGGTGTCTATGATAATAGACATAATTTGTTAGGTACCCAAGTCTTTTACTGGATTTAGCACAGAGTGAAACCATAAAGTGAACACTATGCCATGGTGTTATTATAGGGGGCATTCAAAGCTGTTTTGGTGATGTAACTGTACCATAGCAGTTAAATATTTGTATTTATTGTCAGTTGAACTGTTATTTTGTATTCTTGGCATTTATAATACTTATTTTTAGAATAATTATAACATTCCTGGTATTAATTTTACCTTGAATTATTAATATATACAGTCAACCATAATTCCATTTGAAAGTAGGTTTATAAAAAATGTAACCTAACCTTCTAATACTTTCTGACACCATTCTATCTATCAGAAACAAGAACTTGTAAAATGGTATCAGGAATTAGAATTTCCCAGTGAAATGTTTCAAGGACACAAAATTGGTAGAGAAATTAAGTTTTTTCCTTGTTACATGTACAGCATACAATACAACTGCACAACATAATAATGTCAACTGCTCAAGTGAGACATACTTCTTCCAGAAATCATTCCTTGGTCCAAATAAAACAAAATTATCCTGCAAGTTCACAGCAGATATGCTTGAAAACTGTTCGGGCCTGACAGATCCCAATTTTGGATTTCCAGAAGGAAAGCCATGCTTCATTATAAAAATGAACAGGGTAAGTACCAATCCAACATGCTGAAAAAAGCATGATTTGTTAGTATAGGATAAAGAAAGTTAATTTTTCTGGTCACCTGCGAAGAATTGTTTAATTTTGGGCTTCTGACTTACACTGTAGTCATTAGTGACTGCTGCTACTTAGCAAGCTTCAAGGGCCAGCTTCCAGAAGTGGAAGCTTAGATGCCTGGCTTTGGCAGGTAAAGAACAGACTCTTTTCAGAAAGCTGCTGCATTCACCAGCAAGGCCTTTTTCAGGCCTCCTACCACCTCAGGGTTCAGCAACAAGGAGAAAAGCCTGCCTTACAGTCCCCACTGGAGATTACATCCTTCCCTGCTCACAGAGATACAGATTCTGCTGTTTTACATCTGCAAAGGGTTTGTCTATTTACATAGCCCAAGCCAGTGATGAGATGTTAGGTCATTGGAGGCAGCAAGTTATAATAAGATGCATTAATAAGCTTCTGCTCACTGAAAATTACTGTGATGAACATACACAATTGAACCAGTTAGCCCCTGTGAAGTAACAGAATAGTGTTTCATATTGCCATATGATGTTTTATGGCAAGGTTTTTTATGCTTACGTAAAAGTAAGCGACCCAAGTTTCATAATTCTTACTGAGTTTCAGATAAAGCAGCATGTTAATCTAAACTTACTGCTTTGTCAATTTTAAATAACAAGTAATTGAGCTGAACAACATGAACTTCTTGATATTTCAGATTATCAGTTTTCTCCCTGGCAATGGCACTGCACCAAGGGTAAACTGCACAAATAAAGTAAGTCTCCAGAGCTTATATTTCAAAGTATCTAAGCAGTGCAGTTCTAATGCATGTAAACTGTGATTTCTCTATCTTTTAAGACAAATGACTGTTAACTTGATTTAAACAAAACACAGTGAATTTATAACTCATTGCAATGTCTAATTGTTCTTTCAGTTGAGGTATTCTGAGCTATACATCTCTTTCTCCACCAAAAACAGTCAAAAAGGGAAAATTTTTAAAGTAATTTGGAAACTGTTCCCATATTGCAGATATTACAGTAGTGAAATTTATTTGTCTCAAATTTTTGCTGTTCCTGCCATTTTACCTCTTACCACATATACTTTTGAAAACGGAAGTTTTTTTTTTTTTAAAAACTAAAATAACATCTAAAACCCAGGAACTCTGAGTTGACAGAGGTCTTTTCATATTTTAAAATTTTAATTGTATGAAATTTGGTAATTTAAAAACTGCTTGTAAATATTTATTTTAAGGGAGTATACATATTAAATATCAGATATTAAAGGTCTTCATAAAGACTATTTCCCTTATGCATTTTGATAAAAGAATTAAATATATTGCTCTTTAAAGATAATCACTGGCATCTGAGTTAGCATTCATTGAAATGAGTAAGGGAACTCACTACTCAAAGTAATTGTTATGGACTCTGATGATGTAGGCAGAAATCCAGGCACTAGTTAAATTATCGTGATATTTGGGACTTAATCTTTACAACTAGAGCAACTAGATATCTACTGATTTATTAATGAGAGCTGAGACTATAGAATTAATTTAATTGGGGCATAAAATGTTAAGCATGTTCTTAAGTGCTGTGCTGACAAGCAATGGACCACTGAACTGGGACTTCAGTGAATACTATATGCGTTTCAATATCAACAATATTCTAGGCCAAGTTTATAGTTATATTGTTAATAATCCTCTTTTCTTTAAAAACAGGATGATGATTCCAGCCCACTTGAAGTTCAATACTATCCAGTCAATGGTACCTTTAACCTTCACTACTTCCCTTATTATGGAAAGAAAGCACAGGTATACATTTCTAAACTCTCATTTTTCCTTCAAGTTTTTCTGTAAAATTGTGTGAATTTAACAGAAATTAAATGTACAAGCTGTATTTCTAAATTGACAGCATAATTTTTTAAGAAAAGGTTATAAGACCTTCTTTTTCTTTCATCCTAGCCCACCTATACCAACCCTTTGGTAGCAGTGAAATTTCTCAACATTCCAAGGAATACAGAAGTTAACATAGTGTGCAGAGTTGTTGGAACTGGAATCATCTCAGATAATATTCATGACCCATTCGTAGGAAAAGTGGAATTCAGACTGAAAATAGAAAAGTAGACAACAGTAACATTTATAGTACAAATGAAAATGTTTCTAAAAAGTGTGCTATGAAGAGTGATTTAGGTGTCACTACATTGTTTTATATTTATTTTCTCTCAATGATTTTACACCAAAATTGCTCAGACTGCAGTTTAACAAAAGCCATTTTAAATGTCAGTACTGAAAGATCATCCACAGATCAAAAAATCCACAGTATCATTTACAATGCACCAAGCAAGGATTTTTCCTGATGACATACTATGTGGAACAAAACAGCTTGCTCTTCCATGACAGCCGTATATTAGTGCAAACAGTTGTATAAAATGGCTTTCTTCTAAATGGAGCAGAAATGACTCATGAGAAACATGGACATAGTATCAAGAAGTCATTTTCAGTGACTTTTTTTAACCATAGAATAACCATTGTATATTTACTACATACTGGACACTGTAGAAACAGCTGAGGTATTAGGAAAAATAAAATGGCATAGCAGTTGAAGCACTGGTTTATATTTCATTACACATTGAATGCTACGCAAAAAACAATGTATAACTCAAAAAGTAGTATAATCTAACTGGATCATTAATTAATACATTATATTCTGCATGGTTCAGTCAACAGATTTGTTTTATTGTGTAACCTATCAAATATTAGAAAAAGAACTGACTTGAAAATTAGCTTATGTAACTTACATCATTATAATTACGGCAAGTTTTACAACTTCTATATGTGTACAGTTTAATAAAATAATCAAAGGTGAAATCTAATTATGCCTATGAAAGTTGGGCTAAACTGTTAAATTAGCACAACATGGCACCTCCAAGGGCCAGCCCCCCAAAATAATCACTGAGTTTTGGCTGTCTGCAATAATTCAGGAAAACAGAGCCTATTATGAAAAAATCAAGTTCTGTAGCAACTGACATAAAATAGTATTAATATAGCTACAGCACAACAGTATAGCTTCTGTTCAAATGGGCTTGGTTAAAAACTAGGATGTTTCAAGTAGACAGTAAGTATTTTGGAGAGTACGTAATTCAGAAGATATTTTTGAACGCTTTCTTAATTGGAATCTGGAAAGACAAAGATTGACAAACTTCCACAGCAAGACCCAGTAAGCATGGCACCTGGAATGACTAACCTACAGGAAGAATCCTTAGAGGGGAAGCTATGTCTCCCTCCACGACGAGCAAGAGAGACCCTCCTCACAAACCTGGAATTAAGGACTATTTGGATATCTCTAGTTTCAGGGAGAGAGAGAAAATTAGTTCTTACCTATACATTTCTTTCCCTAAATCTTTTGCATCTCAGTCTTAACAGTGGGATTTTTGTCTCTTTTTTAGGTGATTCAGTGAAGACCAACCTTTTATCTTTGCTGGGCATAGATTTCTCCTCTGAATCTTTCCCAAAATAGCATTTAAAACTATGAAAACAACAAAAAATTGTGAACCAAACTGCTCAAATGTTAACCAGTACCATTTGTACATAACCGTACCATTTGCCCATTGAGCTATTAGAAACAAGCATAAAAATCCTCCTGCTTCTCTTGCAGAAGAAGATCCTGCTGGCTTCCTGCTGCAATTTTTATGTTTGAATCAGAAAGCCCTCTATCACAATTCCACATACTTGTAGGAAGACTGCTATTCATTTTTGCTACATGCTAGACTGCTTGTGCCCTCAAAGGCAATCTGAGCATAAAATGTCTCAAAGACTAGACCATTAGGATTGTGAAGAAAGGTCTTCAGTACATTGAAGAGAAAGCCATAGCACTAGAAGTGTCCATGTGTGGGTTTTATTGAACAGATTTTATGTTCACAGTACCGCCGTCTGAAAATGCTACTTGATGTCACTGTAAACAGTAACATTTGCCAAGATTCCCATACACAGTGCAATCGCTCCCCTAGCGATCTCTTAGATGCTGGAATGTATGGCTACTGGACAAATTATGCAATTCCCCTCTCCAAAGATGTAATCATCTGACCTTGATGAGGTGACTGCAAGGTGTTTAGAAACATCAGTTTAGAAGCATTCAAGGACAGGCAGTACTTCTGAATGTAGCTGGACATTTTCTTCTGTCCAATAGAAATAGGAAGGAGCCATAGTTTCAGGGTAAGAGAGATCACTATATTGTCTACTCTGAACTCAGAAACCACCCATTTTAATGTACTGAGCCTGATAACTACTGTTGGAAAAAGTGCATCTCTCAGTAAGGCATCTACATTCTTGATTGGAAGACAGCACAAAATGGAAAAATTAGCACGTTGTAATTTGTTCCATTAATCATATCACTATTTGCTTAAATATTTTTTTTTTTAATTTGGCTGATGTTGGCTTCCAGATATTAATTCTTGTTATGCTTTTCTTCACTCAATTAAAGAGTCTGTTCTTATTCCAACTCCTGTGGAGATACCAGTTAATCTTCTTCTCATAGTCTTCTTTTTGATAAGTTACAAATTCAGCTCTATCACTCCACAGCCTCTTCGCCAGATCTTTATGTAATTCTTGTGGCTCTCTTCAGCACTGTCTCCAAGTTTTCCAGCACCCATTCTCAGATATGGCCACAGTAAAGAAATATACACAATAATACAGGAAGGTTAAAAAAAAAACAAAACAAAAAACCCAACCTCCCTGCTCATTACTGCCCCACTTAAGTATCCAAGATTGCACAAGCCCTTTTTTGCTCAGCCTCGCATTGAGAATGTATGGTCATCCTTGTCCACCATGACCTTTTCCAGGATCACTTTCTAGCTCACAAGTCCCAAATTTTATAGGTATTGTTTGTGTACCCTGTAGTTTCTAGATATATTATTTTACACTGAGCTGCAGCAGTGCACATTTTATTTGAATGGCCCCAAATTAAAAACAATCCAGAGTTCTTTGTCTTCATTATCATTTACCACTCTGCTAATCTGCATTATTTATAAGTTTCTTTTTTTATTATCAGCATTGATTTTATACTTACTTTGGAATATTTTCCATCAATGATCTGAAAGCGATTGCTGCGGAACCTCACTAAAACCACTCCCATTCAGTGATACGATGTTTTTTAAATGGTCATTTAGCCAGCTCTTAATCCATTTAAACTTTGGCTTTGAGGTTTCTGTAGTACTGATGTTATTTTTAATTAGGATATCATGCTGTACTGAATCAAACACCTTAAAATAGTCTAAGCATCTATGAAAGGTAAAGGGTTTTTATGATCTTTTACTGCACCAACTTTAAAATATTACTAAAAATGTATATATAGTTGATCCAACAAATCACACACTCTCTCTACTCTAAACATCCATATGATTTAAACACCCAACTCTTAAATCTCCCCAGAGAAATTAGGTTTGTTTAGGAAGATCTATTTTCTATTAGAACTACCACTTTGATAAAAATTATATAATACGTCTAATTCTTTTTAAGTCAACACTCTTTTTATTTATTTATTTATTTTTTAAAGTAAAGTGAGGCCTGGCAGCCTGGTATCAGAGTTTGCTGGGTTGTTCTTGTTGAAAATATGTACAACGGTAGTAGTCGTCCCTTATTCTAGAATGTCTCTTGTGTTCCAAGATTTATTGAAAATTAAAACAGAGAGAGCAAATACCTACTTAAATCAAAACTTTTAGGACTTGATTTAAAATTTTAGGATTTAATTGTGTTTTAAATCCCAAAGTAGATATTTAATGTCATCCTTGATTACTGAGTGGGAAAATACTTCAACTTCCTGATAGCCTTCTTCAAAAGGACTTTCAATTTTGCTGTACACTGATATCCAAAAAGTGGGGGAGAAGGGAGGTAGAAAGTGTTTCTGAAACTTTGCAACAACCAGATCTTGCAACTGAATAGGATTGACATCATTGCTTTGGTATTTGCACTGATGGTACCGAGCCGTCACTTGGTACGTTGATAGTACCAAAGTTTATTACTAAGACCGCATACAAAGCTAGCTGGGCTTGTGTTCCAGTTAGGTGAATTTAATCCATGCTTTTATGCTACCCTGCCTCTCCCCCAATATGCCAAAGAGGTCCATTATGAACAAGTGATTACTTGAAGAGAGTAGTAATTGCAACTTGGCAAGTGGTTTAAAGAACTGATGGATATTGTTTGCTTTGCACCTTTGTTTCTGGAGAGGAGCTGTACAGAGTAGTTTCCCTACCCCAGCTCTGTTTTGATTTCAGACCCTCCTACTGAAATTCATGAAAATTAATCAGAAACAAGAAATCAAGAAAGGGGAGGCTTTTAGAACTCCCCCCCCGTTTTTTCATACCCACTGCCAAAGACCAAGAGTACTATGAAACTACTCCACAGTCTAAAAATCACTGATTTATATACCCTTACCTTTATCTCTTCGCTCTGAAACTTTGAGCCTTCCTTTTCTCTCTGTCCTAGCTTTCTCAAAGCCTCTCTTTCCTCTGTCCAACTGTAGATGATATGCTGGAACTTTATAATTCAGGGGAAGCCTGAAGATACGAGCCAGAGAAGTCTTTGGGCTGCCACTTAACTACTGATAGGCTCTGCAGATGCAGTTGTGACTTCTCCTGCTAAAGAACTAAAGGAAGGGGAGGAGCTGACTCAGCTGCTATGGAAAGATATTTTCTCACATCAACACCACTAAAACACACCCATCTGTGGTGACATCTGGTTGATAATGCATTAACAAAAAAGTTCCTCTAGACCAGTGGTTCCCAATCTTTCTGATCCCATGCCCCACTTCCAGCAAGGGCCCAACTCTTCCAAAAGAATACATGTCGCTTACAACCCCACTTATAAAGTGCTGCAAACTCTAGGTTGGGAACCACTGCTCTCAGGCCTCCAAAGTCACCACTGAGACAATCCAGTAAGCCCCTGAATGAGCTGAAATGTTCTAAGTAGAATAATCCTAAATTAGAAAAACACAGAGCTTGTTAAAAATGCCCATGCGCGTTTTATTAATAAAAACTAACAGTGCCAAGGTTAAACAATTCAAACAATTAAAGTCTCTTTATATTCCATAAAATATTACAGAAAAGTTTATTTGTGTTTCAATAAAAAGACTACTGTCTTAGAATAGGCAGCTGACAGTATTTGTGCAGTTAATTGTTTTGTGAATAAATTTAAAAAGACTACCACCTGCCCTGAAATTCCTTTTATAAAAATGAACTATTAAAAATGATTGACAAATTTTGAGTTAAAAAACTTAAAACATTCTCTATATTTAATTTCAACTTTATAATAGATTACAGGAAGATGCTTATGAAACAAATACAAACATTTGTTTCAGTACATGTCTTTATACGATAGACTTATAAGTATGTAAACAACTATATAATAAAAAGTTTCCAAAGTCTGCCTGTAAGAAATCAGGCAAAATTTACCATAAGCAATAAATCATTCCAAACCTTCAAGACATTTTATACAGCTGCACCAGCTGGCAGTAAACATTTGCCAAAAACTCTGTAATTTTATGTTTCAACATACAGTGAAAACAATATATAAAACCGATGGAATCACAATGTTTATATATAATTTAAGGGAAAGTAAGTTCACAACAACATTTCTGGAATTTAACATGTAAAAAAGTAGGACGTATCTCTTTTGTTTCTTTGGACACTGCATGATTAACAAAAACCACTACTACGTTAGCTTGCTATCCCTCAAAAAGTGGTATAATCAAAATACACTCCAAAGAAATGGCCATTCAGTGTATTCATTTTCCACAGAAGGATAGCATTTTATTTTTCATTGATGTGTCTACATTTTCTTTAGCAAACTTAGCAAAAAACATTTGGGGCAAAATGCATTTTCCTTCAAGTAAAAAAACTAAAGAGTAAATAAAGGCTCTGCATTAACACACTGGTATCAAAACACACATCCACACCACATTTAAAAATATCCTACATAAAACAATCCTTGTTTGCTTATTGGAGGTGCAATTTCTAAACTCAGAAATGCTTACCAATATTTTCCTTGAGGGATGGGGCAAAATAATTTGAGTGTTCTCTCCCTAGAACAATTTATTTCCTGAAGCTTGCTGAATTTTAACAAAAAATAAAGTCTACAAGCAAAGGGGATCAGTCATCATCGTCATTTTCATTAAAGTCGTCATCATCATCGTCATCATCTCCAACATAAGAGACAGGCGTTTCAACTCTGGAGCCACTGTACTGTGATCCATTGGAACTTGTAGCTAACATCCCATCTCCTCCGTTGGAAAAGTCACTGAAACAAGGAAAAATGAAATTAGTATTTATCATTTTTAATACATTTATTCAGCTATTATTTGCATGCGAGGTGGAACACTAAAATTCAGTGAAACTTCAAACATTCCATGGAAAGAAAGTCAAGCTTTCATCAAGCGGTCTCCACCTATTTTTGTCACTGCTGCTATACTAATTTATTACTATTTATCACATTTTTAGGCATGGGAAAGAAAGACAAGTCAGAACATCTGGATACTGCAAGAGTTCAGAAGGGGTGACATTTCCACATTTTCCTGTAAGGTTACTTTAACGCATTGAAAATTTTTTAAAACAAAACAAGCAAACACAAAACCTTCGTCGGCTTTGGAAAAATGGTCCACAAACAACCAACTGAGACTAAACAAAGACAAGTGCAGAGTCCTGTACTTGGGACAGTATAAATGCACATAAAAATACAGACTAGGGAATAACTGGACTGGCTGAAATACTGTAGAGGAGGACTTGGGGATTACAGTGGACCACAACCTGAATGTGAGCGAACAAGGTGCTCTTGATGCAAAAAAGCCAACAGCATCCTAGGCTGAATTAACAGGAGTGTCATTTGCAATCAAGTGAGGGATTTAGCACTGGTAAAGCCACATCTGGAATACCATATCCAGTTTTGGGCCCCACACTTCCAAGAAAGATGTGGACAGTTTGGAAAGGGCAACAAAAATGATTAGGTACCTCTGAGACAAGACTTCTAAGGTAAGGCTGAAAGAACTAGGGTTATTTAGCTTGAAGAAGACTGAGGGAGAATTTGATAATAGTCTTTAAATACCTGAAGAATAAATACAGAAAGGAAGAAGATGGATTTTTCTCTGGGTTGTAGGGGACAGGATTAGGAGCAATGTCCTCAAGCTGCAGCAATGGAAATTTAGGCTGGAGATCAAAATGAACTCTCTATGAGAGTGGTTAGGTATTGGAACAGGCTCCCTAGAGAAGTTGTGGAATCTCCTTACTTGGAAACTTAGTTTAGATGCCTGGCTGAGAGGTTTAGTTAGGGATGATCCTGCCTTCAGCAAGGGGCTGGAATAGACCATGTGAGCTCCCTTCCAGCCCTACTTCCCTATGAACCTATGAGGCTCTAGGCCACACTTGTCCAACATACAGCCCGCAGGCCGCCATGCAGCCCGCCAAGTCATTTTCTGTGGCCTACAGTGCTGCGACAGCAGCTTCCTAACACCTGCTGAAGGGCTGGGGAAAGGACAAGGTTCCCACATGCACCGCATCAGCTTGACATTGCCGACACAGTGCATGTGGGAAGAGGAGCACAGACCCGGCCCGCCTCCTCCCGTCCCCAGTACCATGTGGGGAAGCCACCGCTTTCCAGCCTGAGCGACTCGCTGCTCCCCGCCCACAGGCGAGAGGCAGCCTAGCTTGGCTGCCCAGCCCTGGGTCTCTGGCAGAGGTGGAGCGGCACGGGCAGGTGCCTCCTCCTGCCAGGCTGTCGGCATTGGCCGCACAGGGTGGCCCTGGGCTGAGGCGAAGCCTGCGCTCGCTGCACGCCAAGGTGCTGCCTGGCCCCAGCTCCCTCCAGCCTGGCACGGCGCGGTGCAGCAATGTGAGCCCACGGAGGTGGCGTGGTGGCCAGGCTCATCCTTGTCATCTGCCTCTGCCACCTCCTGCCCGGCCATGGTGCCACAGGTAGGACCGGGCCAGGTCAGGGTCAGGACAAAAAGACGGCACCTCCCCCCAGGGCCGGGCTGGTGACGGTGGGCTCCCAGCACCTGTGTGTGGGGGGTGGTCCCTGCCTCTCTCAGGGGAGGGAGGCTCAGCTCTGACCCCCATCTCCTGGGGCCGAGGCTTTAACCTCAGAGCCTGGTCTTCCCTCCTGGAAGCTGGCTGTGCCCACGTCCCAGAAGCCAGGTGCTGGAGCATTACAAAGGAAAGCAAAAACCTCCACAGTCGGCTCTAATCTAACCATAGGGTAAAATTCCTTCCTGACCCCAAATTTGGTGATCAGTGGGATCCCAAGCAGAGGGGAAAGACCAGGGCTCAGCAGCATTTTTGGGCAGTGCCAAAAACACTCGCAGCCTTGACTTGTAAAATGTTGGCGTGCCAGTGGCAGACAGCGGGGGAGCCACGAAGGGCTCTATCCTTGTTGTTGCAGCACAGCCCTGGCCCTTCCCCTGAAGTCTGCCCTGAGGCACACGTGCCAAGCAAAATGCCTTTGTGTACTATGCTCTGGCACCCATGGAAGAGGTTGCCTACCTCTGGACATAACCCTCTAGCCAAAAACCTCTGGATTTGGTCCCAGAAGGAGCATTGGCACACCCCAGTGAAAGTTCCTAGCCTCGGCTGTAGCCAACACCCAGTACCTCTGAGGAAGACTTAAAAACACCCTGGCACACATAGCAGAAAGGGGAAGGGTAGCGGTGGGGGCAACCAGCAAAGTCCAGAAGCATGAGAAGTACCCATAGTAGAACATAGGCATAGCTATGCCTAGATCAGGGGTAAGCAAAATATGGCCCACAAGCTGTATCCAGCCCACCAATTGATCCTATCTGGCTCACCACCGGGAGCCCGAGGAGTAAGGATTGTGCCCTGTGTTGCTCCACTCTCCCTCAAATAATTGCCCACCCCAGTCTAATCAGTGGTTCTCAACCTTTCTTGTACCAGGACCCATCTGTAAACATAGATGGTCAGTCCCGACCCAGTGTCCCTCACTGCTCCTACCTCCAGACCCCAGTTCCCCAGTATGTGGGGCATGAGGGGGCCCCAAGCAGCCCTTTGCAGGCTGGAACTCTGCCAGTCCACAAGAGAAAAACCACAGTTATAAAGGAGAAAAACATAAAGGAGAACCCATTTTTAAAGTTTGCTCGTGACCCTTTCCTTTATTCTTGAGACCTGCTTTTGGGTCACGACCCATGTTTTGAGAAATGCTGGCCTAGATCATGCCCAATTAGTGCTGTCCAACATCTTTTTGAACACCTCTGATGATGGAGAGTCCACAACTTCCCTAGGCAGTCTGTTTCACTCCCTCGCTGTTCTAACCTCTGTGACCAGAGGGCTGGTACTGGAAATACAGCAAGGTTTTCAGGCTCTGTTCTGTGCCTTGTCAGTTAACACATGGACAAAAAGAAAAGGGGAAGAGGGTTTCTCTTTAATTTCTACCTCCTCCCATTGGCAAGAACCCATTGGAAATTTCTTCCCAAGGTCTTGTTTGACTGGTGGCAGGATGCCTACTGCCTCATGGGGTCCAGGTCAGGTACTCCCATGGAACCAGTGGGTGCCCAGTTCCTTTCCAAATCTGGCATTGGCAGTTTGCCCAAAGTTATGTGGTGAGTCTGTGGTAGAGCTTGAAATATAATTCAGCTTGCCTGACTCCCAGTCTTGGTGCTGAATCCATAGGCCACAGTTGCAGCAAGAGTAATGATTTATGGTCCTTTCTGATTGCTAAACTAACTTGTCACTCCCTGCTTTCCTGGGTGTGTTTGCACAGCAAGCTTCAGCCAGCACTGAGAAGTGATTAACTAGCTATCTATTGCCTATAAAGCATGGTGTCCAGAAAAGGGAACACAACAGTAGCTCATCTTCCTTCTGCTTCATCCTTTTCAGTGCAGTTGCTGTTGTACTATGAGATAACTTATCAGATCTTTGGATAAAGTACAAACAAGAGAGGCTTTTGCTGGATCAGCTGTTGTTTCCATTTCCCCCTTTCCTCTCTATTTGTCTGAGCTATAACACAGTAGGGCTGGTTGTGTTGTGGTTGCCACCAACCTGACCTTAAACCAGATGACCTGTTTTCAGCCTGGTGACTCAGCTAAGCTAGTCTCCAAAACTATTTTGGGAGCGTTATTTTAATCAATGCCTGGTCTGCTACTTTGGAGGTCCTCTGCCTCTTTAACCAGCAGATACTGTATTGCTGATAAAAGGGATAAGATGGGGTAACACTGGATATGATGGCAGTGAATGAAGACGTGTGTAAGCATCTTTCACTGAACCAGATAAATTTAAATTCTACCCCTGCTGGTCACTGAGGTCCCACCTCCTTCATCCAGACGATGCTTCCGTTTCTCTTTGTGTGAGATTGGGGGTTCAACTTATTACTACTTGTTAAAAGATGTGTTACTAACA